ATTTTTTCTGCTATGTTTGCAATGTCTTTAAAGAATTACAGGTATGTTCTGCATGAGGAGGATACAAGGACACAATCGTGCAACCTTTAACGCAAGTGGTGAGTCAAGAGAAAGGGATCAAAATAATGGATAATAGGCCTTTTGCAATAGTTGTTCACATGATTAACTTTCTGTAAACACAAAAACAACCAGCTCTAGTTAAGACCACTTTCCAAAATTTGCAAGGTGGTGCCTTACAAGAGATTTGACAGTTAATATATATTTTAGATAATTATGTTAAATGACATTAAGGTATGGAACTCAGGTTTAGCATTAATGCAATTGCAGGTGGGTGTATGAGTCAGAGGAGTTTATCAAGAGTTTAACTCATGCCCAATTAAAACCTTAAAGCTCATGAATAGAAAGCAAAATGTTGAGATAGCATTTGGGTTTAAAAGTTACACAGCAGTCTCGACTTTACCTTTTGCTCTTTCGATCTCCTCTCTTATATTCTCTTGCTTTTCTTGCCCTGTTTTTGTTTTCTTTTGCTGCAAATTAATTAGCCCTGGGAAAAGTTTTTGGGAAAGCTTCTAGACTGCACAGTTTTCATCTGACAGTGCATCATAATCATATGATTAAATGGAAGATTAAGATACACTCAAGTAACTAGTTAAAACAAGACTTTTATCAAAATTTTGAAGTCAACTTTTCATGGTTATCTGTATTTTTCTCCGGGCTCTTTGACTTAACCGTGCTTATATTCTGGTACGGTTTGAAAGATATCTTACCCCGTTACATGAGTTTAGACAAATTCTCCTTTAATTGGGTATATACTTATTAAAACTGATGACACCACAAGCAGTATATATGGGACGTGGCTCAACATGGGCATCGATCAGTTCAAATGGGTGAAGTTGTATAAAATGGTTTAAAGAATTTACTGGTATATGTATTTGTCTATTTTCAGGAAAAGAGGAAGGATCAGATGACTCATGGCAAGTAATTATCAAAGAAAACAGTAGGTAATGTCATCAGGGCCCAGTTGTTCGAAAACCGATATATTTAGCACTAACCCAGGATTAAAATATTATTATGTTAATCTGGGTTTCTTATTCTTCTGTTCAAGAGCATTTTCTTGGATAATTTTCTCTGTTCGTTACAGAGCACCAAATCACTACATTGCAGGCAAAAAGAATTAAACTGAATTTTCTTTGTATTAAAAGCTTTCATATCTGATTTTAAACTTCACACTAACCCTGCTTTGAACAATCCAGCCCAGGTCCTTAATTAGGTACCGGTATATGAAAGTATCTTAGCAGTGTCATAGGTGATTTCCCTTATGATGTCAAAAAGTTAAAGTTGTTTGGCACATGTTTGTAAAAAAATTGCAAGAGAAATTTCCACAATCAGAAGAGCAGCTACATTGTATGCTGGCAAAAAGTGGTTATCAGTACAACTGAAAAATAGGTTTGGGCTTCCCCACTGAATCCCGCAAACTCTGCGGTGAAATTTCCTGACTATTCAAAGCTTTCATTTGTACCGGGGCAGGATCCTAATAATTTCATAAAAGTTATAGGGTCCAGGAGATTATCAACCAGAACAATCTTCAGAACATTGAAACTTTTCAATAAATAAGTATATAAATAAATAATAGTTTAGAGGTAGCACATCTGCTAAGTGGTTCTTCATCCACTTGATTTCCTGGTTGAATTAAAATTTGAAAATGATGGTTTTTGAGAGGAGGGGAAAACTGGAGTACATGAAGAATAACCTCTCGAAGCAAAGGAGAGCACCAACAACAAACTCAACCCACATGCGGTGTTGACACCAAGATTTGAACCTGGGCCACAATGGTGGGAGGAGATCAAGTACTCTCACCAGTGCACCACCCTTGCTCCTCTATATATGTAATTGGCCCTGGAAAGGTTTTGAATGATGTATGAAAATGACAAATTAGTGATAGTTGTGATCCTACCAGCCATGGGATCAGAGCATTTTGGGGAACATGTGGCGGGGGTCGGCCAATTTTTGCAAACTATGCTCACTGTGGAAAATACTTCAATTTATCCCCATTAAACACGAAGTTCTAAAAATCAGTCCTGTTTCCTTAAAATTAAAGCGATATAGAGAAGAAGTGTGACGTCACATTACCATGGTAGCAGAATTTCTGGATCACAACATTAGAGAGCTAAACCAACGACGAGGGCGAAGGCAACAATTAGAACCAGTGAAAAAGTAATAGCAAAAGAGCAATGCTGCACGTGCATCGCACTCTTGTAGATTTCGTAACAGTCGTTGCACAACTGTGACAAAAAACTTCCTAATTTCATGTGCCTTCTTTCTGGAGTAGGTGAACACAACACAAAATTTTCTTTTTCTTAACTTTCGGATGCAACTCCAGAAAATTTCGCCGACATTTGACAAATTAAATGAAATTGAATAAGATCGATGAAGTATGAAACAGTGCGCATTAACTTTTTAAGTGACGTCTTTGTTTTGTTGTCATCCAGAAAATGTGCTACCATGGCAACGTGATGTGACAACTTCTCTTTTCTATTCCTATTCACCAAGCTGCCTATTCGAAATTTTGCAGATGACGCTCCGCCCATGATGATCCCTGAAGAACATGATGCAAGGACAAGATGATTTAATGATAATTATTTAGCTTTACTTGTTTTTATTACCTAATATTACCTAATATTATTGAAAAACTGTAAGTAATTAGGCTTGATGTTTCTACATCTTTAAGAAAAAGGGTATAATGATAGAGTAAACACCCATGTTAGTACCAATTTTATCTAATAACACGTCAAAATGAGTCTAGATCACAATGTTAACGTAAGAATTAAGTATAAGGATATCGCTATGCTTATATTAAGAGTGCGCGTGTTATTAATATGTTACAGTAATTAATTAGCTGAGGTCGGTTTGATAATCATAAAAATTAAGTGAGCGCGTGTTATTTATCTAGTGATTAATTTAAGACTGGTTAGTGGTATGTTGCATTGCTTATGTAAGAATAAAGAATGTCTGCATGTTATTAATATAGTGATTAATTCACTACAGGGTCCTTGCAATGTTTATGCCACAATTACGAGTGTGCATGTTATTTATTTAGTGATTAGTTTACTAAGGTGAATTGCAACGCTTATGTAAGAATTAAGAATGCACACGTGTTTTAATTTAGAAATTAATTTACTAAGAATAGATTGCAATCTCATACCAGAAATTGAGTGTCTGTGTGTTATTTATTTAATGCTTAACTTACTATGAGGATATTGCTATGTTTATATTAAGAGTGCGCGTGTTATTAATATTTAGTAATTAATTAGCTGAGGACGATTTGATAATCATAAAAATTAAGTGAGCGCGTGTTATTTGTCTAGTGATTAATTTAAGACTGGTATGTTGCATCGCTTATGTAAGAATTAAGAATGTCTGCATGTTATTAATATAGTGATTAATTCACTACAGGGTCCTTGCAATGTTTATGCGACAATTAAGAGTGTGCATGTTATTTATTTAGTGATAAGTTTACTAAGGTGAATTGCAATGCTTATGTAAGAATTAAGAATGCACACGTGTTTTAATTTAGTAATTAATTTACTAAGAGTAGATTGCAATCTCATATCAGAAATTGAGTGTCTGTGTGTTATTTATTTAATGCTTAACTTACTATGAGGATATTGTTATGTTTATATTAAAAGTGCGTGTGTTATTAATATCTAGTAATTAATTAGCTGAGGACGATTTGATAATCATAAAAATTAAGTGAGCGCGTGTTATTTATATAGTGATTAATTTAAGACTGGTATGTCGCATCGCTTATGTAGGAATTAAACAAAGTCTTGCAATGTTTATGCGACAATTAAGAGTGTGCATGTTATTTATTTAGTGATAAGTTTACTAAGGTGAATTGCAATGCTTATGTAAGAATTAAGAATGCTATGTTTTAATTTAGTAATTAATTTACTAAGAGCAGATTGCAATCTCATATCAGAAATTGAGTGTCTGTGTGTTATTTATTTAATGCTTAACTTACTATGAGGATATTGCTATGTTTATATTAAGAGTGCGCGTTTTATTAATATTTAGTAATTAATTAGCTGAGGACGATTTGATAATCATGAAAATTAAGTGAGCGCGTGCTATTTATCTAGTGATTAATTTAAGACTGGTATGTTGCATCGCTTATGTAAGAATTTAGAATGTCTGCATGTTATTAATATAGTGATTAATTCAAAGGGTCCTTGCAATGTTTATGCGACAATTAAGAGTGTGCACGTTATTTATTTAGTGATACGTTTACTAAGGTGAATTGCAATGTTTAAGTAAGAATTAAGAATGCACACGTGTTTTAATTTAGTAACTAAATTGCTAAGAGTAGATTGCAGTCTCATATCAGAAATTGAGTGTCTGTGTGTTATTTATTTAATGCTTAACTTACTATGAGGATATTGTTATGTTTATATTAAAAGTGCGTGTGTTATTAATATCTAGTAATTAATTAGCTGAGGACGATTTGATAATCATAAAAATTAAGTGAGCGCGTGTTATTTATCTAGTGATTAATTTAAGACTGGTATGTCGCATCGCTTATGTAAGAATTAAGAATGTCTGCATGTTATTAATATAGTGATTAATTCACTACAGGGTCCTTGCAATGTTTATGCAACAATTAAGAGTGGGCACGTTATTTATTTAGTGATACGTTTACTAAGGTGAATTACAATGCTTATGTAAGAATTAAGAATGCACACGTATTTTAATTTAGTAATTAATTTACTAAGAGTAGATTGCAATCTCATAACAGAAATTGAGTGTCTGTGTGTTATTTATTTAATGTTTAACTTACTATGAGGATATTGCTATGCTTATATTAAGAGTGCGTGCGTTTTATTAATCTGGTAATTAACTTACCACAAGGGTAACAATGCTTATGAAAAGTTGCTTCTGACAGTTTAGTATAATAGAACCGACTAGTATTTTCCTGCGTTTTACTTGTTAATTAGCAGGAAAATATGCTCTCATCGGTATCTTATGTTTGTTTAGGCGTGTGCGCTGGTATGTGGGTAATTAGTAGGGGTATATATTTGGGCGTGCTGGTTTTGTCTTTCATCTCGGTCTTGCTGTTCCAGCGTTCGGGTCATTTTTTATTTGTTTTTGTTTTTAGTGTGTGTGTGTGTGTGTGTTCTTTTTGCTTTTATTTTGCAGATGTTTTCAGCTCTACTATGTGGTCGGATCTTCGGGCTGCGGTTCCCCAGGGATCCAGTGTTTTACAATCCCTTGCAAGTTCTCTTCCGGATATTGCGTTGGCTAGCAGAGCACCCAGTACTTCCGCCAAGTATTTTTCTTCTTACAACAGATGGAGGTCTTGGGCACGAGAACATGGCTTGACAGTTTTTCCTGCTTCTCCGTTTCACTTTGCCATATATTTGCGTCATTTGATGACTGAGGCGAAGACAGCATCTCCCCTGGAGTCAGCAGTTCACAGCATTGCCTGGTTTCACCAGCTGGATGGCGAGCCGTCTCCTTCTGCTCATCCGTTGGTGAAGAGTACTCTTGCCGGTGCGCAGAGTTTGCTGGCCCATCAAACAACCAAGAAGGAACCTATCACAGTCTCTCAGTTAGAGCAGTTAGTTGCCTCCAAGGCGGACTCAATGGACTCTTTGTATAATATTCGTTCGGTTGTTATTTGCTTACTAGCTTACTTGCTGCCTTTCTCAGATTTGTTGAGCTTGCTAAGCTTGTTCGATCCGATGTTAAGATCGAAAATGATATGTTAAGGTTATTCATTCAATCTAGTAAACCTGATCAGTGTAGGGATGGAGCTTGGATTGTTGTAGTTTCTTCTAGGAAAGCAACTTGTCCGGTTGCTATGATGAACCGTTATTTAGACAGAGCTGGGCTTTCCTTCGATAGCCCTTTTTTTTGCCAGCTTTCCAAAACTAAATGTGGTTATTATAAGCCAAGATCCAAATGTTTAAGCTTTTCACGGTTAAGAGAGTTAGTGTTAGAGGCCTTTTAAGATATTGTATTGTAGCCTTAGGAGCGGCGGGGCTACTGCTGCCGCAAATGCTGGCGTACCAGACCGACTTTTTAGGCGTCATGGCCGCTGGGCTAGTGAATCAGCTAAGGACGGGTACGTCCAAGATTCTTTATCTTCTCGTTTGTCGGTTTCTAAGGCTTTAGGTATTTAATTTTCTCGTTCGTACCGTTTTTAATTGATTCTAGTTTCTATTTAGTTGGTCTTGCCCGGGGGACCGTTTTTTATGGGGTGCAGCTGGCCTGGGGTTTTCCTCCTAGGTGCAAGTGGACGTACGGGGAGGTTTTTCACCCAGCTGTTGTTCCACGACCCCATTTCAATTAGCTTGTGATCTAGTTCTTTGGAGCTGTATGTTACTTGGATTGTATATTACGTTTCTATGATATGTCATGTATCTTAGTTTTTTCGTGAATAAACCGAGCGCTTGGCTTGAAGCAAGCCGCACCCAAGGTTTGTGTGTTTTCTTGTTGGAACAAACTGAGATTTAGAGGAGAGAGAAATAGCTATTTTGCCGGCACTGCGACCAGAGGACTAGGCCGGTAGAAGGAATTGTGGGTAGCTTTTTTAGATATATTTAGTTGTACGTTGCAATTTGAATCAGTCCAGTTCAGCATTCATTCGAGGTCCTAACTTTCATTTTATTTGCCAATTGTTGTTGTATTTGTTTATAGGCTTTTGGCAGCTAGATTTTTTGCGTACCTCTGCCCCCGAGTTGTCGGCACCGCAGCTGATTTCAGCAGGTGGGGGTGTACGTTCCTTTTTTTTTTCCACAAAGTGGTTTTGGGTTTTCGTATCCGGCGGTGTCGTACTTTTTTTTTCTTTGAGATTCGTGTTTCCTTATAGGGTGTTTTGTACTTTAGTGCAGTTTTGTAATCTTAGGGACGTTTTGCAATAAACTGGCTTTGAGGCCCTTGCTGACCTACAAGCCCGTGTATTTATTCTTGTGTGTGTCTTTCTGGGTATTGTAGGCAAAATTTAATAGTGCGCGCATTTGATTAATCTGGTAATTAACTTACTATGAGGGTATTGCAATGCTAATGTAAGAAGTAAGAAAGTGCATATAATTATGTAACAATTAACTTATTGCGAAACTAGGTTAAGTGTATAAGGGCATGTTTACATGGAGTGGGGGACCCCGGTCTAGTGGGGTTGGTTTCTTTTGTTTTCACGCTCTGAGGGACACAAAACAAAAAAACCTACCCCACTAGACCGGGGTCCCCCACTCCATGTAAACAGGGTCTTAATGGGGATTGCAATTTATATATAAGAAATGCCGGTATGCGCTTGGTTTTCATGTTAATATTGAAATTGAATTCTATTAAGTGCATTGAGGTTGGATTTAAACATTTATGGATAGAATTAAGACTGCATGGACCATCGAACAATAAATATAAGTTCAAAGGAAGATTGCAGGGTTTTTATAAAGATAAATGGGCGCTTATTTTTTATCTTATGAAAGTACGAGTGCGCATTCGTGATCAGGACTAATCATTTTATGAAGGAGCGATTTATATGTTTGTATATGGACAAGAATCATTGCTGTGTTTGTAATGGTTCAAATAAATAAATCAGTGAACCGTTAGTTGATTAATCAAATAAAAAAATTTTAAACAATTAAAGCAGAACTTTGTGTGTTGTTTTTTATTTTCATAAAAAATCACATTCTTTGACATCCTGAGCGTGCAAAAAAACCCCACATGTTGTCACGTGAAGCAATGGAACCCCCAAGTTTTCGCGCCAGATAAGAAACAAAGGCAACGCCACCGAATACTTCATGTTTTTTAAAAGAAAAAGGGGGACACGGGACACAAAAAACAGAACATAAGAAGACACAAGGGACACAGGAAACACAAAGGAGGGAACACAAGGGACAAGGAAAAAAAGGAAAACGGGGGACATGAGGGACACAACGGACAGAAGGGAACACGGGGAACACAAGGGGAACAAGCAACACAGGGGACTCAAAGGGACACCGGGAACACAAGTGAGACTAAAGTCACAAGGGACACAGGGGACTCATGGGGACACAGGTCACAAGGGGACTGTAACTAAATTTTTTAAGATACAGCGCCCCCATGGGGACCAGCCTTAGAGCTGAACAGGCTACCCTGTGTAAATAAAGTTTTACTTTACTTTACTTTAAGGGGACACGGGACACTAGGGACACAAAGGGCACAAGGAGACCAATGGGACACAAGGGATACAAGGGAACACAAGGGACACAGGGGCTACAAGGTAACACAAAAGACACAGAGGACACAAGGGAGACAGGGGCTTCCAAGAGACACAAGGTATATGGGGGACACAAGGGATACAAAGAAAAACAAGGGACACAGGGGACACAAGAGACAAAGGAAAACAAAGGACACAACAACAACAACAACAAGTTTATTCAGTATTACCATTTTGTACAGGTGTTACCAATTAAAATAACAATAATAAACAGCTAAATTTAAGGAAATGAAGATATGATGGAACGGTAGAATTAACTATGTTTCTTTCGTCTTTCAAATGCTTGAAGGATGAAATTAGCGGCTAGCCTGCTGATATGTGAATCAGTATTGTTAAAAAGAAAACAGACTTTATCATGGATATTGTAAATTGTAAATAATGCATTTCGGTCGTTGATTTTAATAAAAAGAGTCTTTCTCAAATCATTGTATTGATCACAGTGAAATAATATGTGTTCATTTTCAGCCGAATTGTGGTTGCAATGATCACAGATTCTAAGGTCTTCAGGAGTTTTGGGGATCGTAAATCTTCCAGTTTCTATTTTTAAATTATGATTTCCTATCCTAAATTTGGAAGCTACACGCCTACGTTCAGGATTCCGGATATGACTGATGAATTCAGAGTGATTTGTTTCATTTTTAAAGATGGAGTAGAATTTTAGTTTTTTATTTGTTCTTATCAAATTTAGCTGGTGGTTTTTCAGATGTTTTGACAAATTATTCTCAGCTTTGGATAGGAAAGTAGAAGGGTTTTTAAATTTAACTGACTGTTTATGAATATTAAGATGTGTACTGAAAAGATTTATTTTATTTATTAGACCAGATTTATTTTCTTCGGCCAGTTTATCCGATATGTTTAAGCAGAGTTTAGCGATGTTGTCAGGGGGTTGATTTTCAAGGTGAATCCACAATTTGAAAATGTTCATTGTTATTTGTAAATTTAGAGATAATCTGCCAAGTTCATTTCTGGATGCAACATTCGGTGAACGTTTGTTTAAACCTAAACACATCTTACAAAAATGTATATACGTTTTCCCAATCGAGTCTTTATCCCAGCGGCTATAATCACTTTTATCATAGATTCCCGAAACTTCAGAGCAATATGTTAAAATTGGGAAAAATAGTGTATTGAACAGTTTGTTGATGATGTGAATTGGTAATTTTAGAAAATCTAGATAACGACGAGCGGCAAAAAAGGATCTCTTTGTTTTTTCTGTTAAGTTTTCCTTGTGATTTGTAAAATTTCCATTGGCAGAAAATTTCACTCCAAGATAGGTATAGTTATTGACGATTTCAATGTTTTCATTGCTAACCATAAAATTGTGTTTATCTATTGCTGATTTTCTACTTTTCTTCTGAAATACAATAACTTTGGTTTTAGTCGGATTAATCTTAAGAAGCCAATCCTGACAATATTTTGATAGTCTGTCAAGACTTTGTTGCAAACCTTCTGCCGAGGTAGATATTAAAAGTAAATCATCGGCATAAAGTAGACAGTTTAAGTGAGAACCATCTGGTAGTAAGATAGAATCTTTAGCATTGTTATTTAGAATGAAGGGTAGTTCGTTTAGATAAGGGGACACAACCGACACAGGGCCCACAATAGACAAAAGGGACACAGGGAACCCAAGGAGATACAGGAGTCACAAGTTACACAGGGGACACAAGGGACACAGCAGACACAAAGGACATAGGAGACACAGGGGCACAAGGGACACAGAGGTCACAGGGACACAGGGGAGACAAGAGACACAGGGGACACAAGGGACACAGGAAAACAAAATGGAGGCAGAGGACTTAGGGAACACAAGGGAGACAGGGAAGACAGGAGACACAATCAACTCAAGGGGACACATGGGACACAAGGGGACACCAGATATGCAGGGGTCACAAGGTACACGGGGGACAGAAGTGACACAGGGGACTCTAAGGACTCAGGGGACACAGGGGACACTAGTGGCACAGGGGACTCTAGGGACTCAGGGGACACAGGGAACACAAGGGACACAGGGGACACAAAAGTACAAAAGGGACACAAGGAGACACAAGCAACACAAGGGACACAAAGGGACACAGGGTACACAAGGGATACAAGGGATACTAGGGGACACAAGGGAGACAGGAGACTCAGTGCACACAAGGGACACAGGGGACACAAGGGCTCCATGGGACACAAGGGACACAGGGAAGTTATGGGACACGGGAGACTTATGGGACACAGGAGACACAAGGGACGCAGCCGACACAGGCGACACACGGGACACAACCGACATAGGGGACACAGGGCATACAGGGGACACACGGGTCGCAATGAACATAAGTTGACCCAAGGCACACACGGGACACAGAAGACACAAGGGTCACAGGGGACACAAGTAACAAAGGTGACCCAGGGGACACGATGGACATAGGGGACACAGGAGAGAGAAGGCACCAAAGGGACACAGGGGTCTCGTGCGGACACAAGGGACACATGGGACACAAGAGGACAAAAGGGACACAAGGGGACACAAGGGATACAAGAGACACAAGGGAACACAGGAGACTCTGGGCACACAGGGGACAGAAAGGACACAGGGGACACAAGGGAGACAGGAGACAAAGGGGACACAAGGGGACACATGGGACACAGGTGACACGAGGGACACCGGGGACAAAAGGGACACAAAGGGACACAGGGGACTCATTGCACAGAAGGAAAACAAGGGACCCAGAGACAGAGGAGATGCAAGAGACACGGGACACAAGGGAGACAGGGGACACAAGGCACACAAGAGGACACAGGGGACACAAGGGGACACAGGCGACATAATTGAAGACCAGGGACACTAGGAACACAGGGAACTCAAAGGGACACAGGGGACACAAGTGGACACATGGGACAAAGGGGACACAACAGACACAGGGAGGACAAGGGACACAAGGGACACAGGGAACCCAAGGAGACACAGGGGTCACAAGGGACACAGCGGACACAAGGGACATAGGAGACAGAGGGGACACAGGGAACACAGGGGACACAAAGGGATAGAGGGGAGACAAGGAGACAAGAGACGCAGTGGACACGGGGAAACACAAGGGAGTCAGGGGACTCAGGGGACACAACTGAAAACAAGGGAGACTGGAGACACAGTCAACACAAGGGGACACAGGGGAGACAAGGGGACACCAGGTACACAGGGGTCACAAGGGACAGGGGACAAAACTTGACCTAGGGGACACAAGGGACACAGAGGACAGAACTGACACACTGGACTATAGGGACTTAAGGGACACAAAGGAACACAGGGGACAAAAAGGTACAAAAGGGACACAAGGGAACACAGGGAACACAAAGAAACAGAAAGGTACACAGGGGACACAAGGGGTCATGGACGACACAAGGGGACATTGGGAACACAGGGATTACAACGGACACAATAGGGCACATGGGACACAAGGGGACAAAAGGAACACAAGGGTACACAGGGGACACAAGGGATACAAGGGACACAAGGGCACAAAAGCAACACAGGAGACTCATGGCACACAAGGGACACAGGGGCTCCATGGGACACTGGAGACACAAGGGACACAGGGGACAAAGGAGACACAAGGGACACAAGGGGACACATGGGATGCAGGGGACTTATGGGACACAAGGAACACAGGGGACACAAGAGACATAGGGGACACAGGGAACAAAGAGGACACCGGGAACACATGTGTTACAAGGGACGTAAGTTGACCCAAGGCACACAGGGGACACAGGGGACACAAGAAACAAAGGGGATCCAAGGGACACGATGCACACAGGGGAGTGAAGAGCCAAGGGACACAGGGTCACTTGGGGACACAAGGGACACAGGAGACACAAGGGATACAAGGGACGCAAGGGGACACAAGGGACACAGGAGACTCAGGGCACACAAGGGACACAAGGGACACAAGGGCTCCATGGGACACAAGGGACACAGGAGACACAATGGACACCGGGGACAGAAGGGACACAAGGGGACACATAAGACGCAGGTGACACAATTGGAACAAAGAAACACAAAGGTACACAGGGGAGGGAACACAAGGGATACAGGGGACAGAAAGGACACAGGGTCTCCATGGGACACAGGAGACACAAGGGACACAAGGGGACACATGGGACGCAGGTGACACGAGGGACACAGGAGACAAGGGACACAAAGGGACATAGGGGACACAAGGGATACAAGATACAGGAGAGTCATGGAACAGAGGGAACACAAGGAAGACAGAGGACACAAGGCACACAAGAGGACACATAGGACACAGGAGTCACAAGGGAGACAAGGGGACATAAGAGACACAGGGGACACAGAGGACACAAAGGGATACTGGGGATACATCGGACACAGGGGACACAGGAAACTCAAAGGGACACAGGGGACACAAGGGGACACAAAGGTACAAAAGGGACACAAGGGGACATAGGGAACACAAAGGGATACAGGGGACACAAACGTACAAAGGGGACACAAGAACACACGCGGAACACAAGGGGACATAGGGAACACAAGGGATACATGGGACACAAAGGGACACAGAAGACACAAAGGGACAAAGGTGGACACAAGGGGACACAAGGAAGACAAGAGACACAGGGGAGAGAAAGGGTCACAGAGGACACAGGGGACACAAAGGGACACAGGGGACACAAGGGGGCACAAGGGACACAGGGGGCACAGTGAACTACTCCTCCTCTACGCAGTAAGCTTACTTTTTGCTTCTTGTCTGACGCAGTATCTTTTTTCTGCTTGTGCAATCGAACCTGACTTGCTTTTGATTGGAAGTTTTAGCCAATGAAAACCACACAATTTTCCGGGACGGGTACGGGATATAGGAAAGTTAAAAAAACAAGACAATTTTTCACTCCTTAGAAAAATACGAAAGGAATGCGCTACCGAATTTATGACGCTTGCTGACTACGTCATCTCGGGTAATAAAATAAGAGAAAAGGAGCAAAATGGTACTTTATGCAACAGTCATTTACGGAAATACAATGAGAACAAAGTGAAAGAATCTTTTAGTATACACAAATATGTCTGGCGGTATACGGCCTTGAGCAGTGGAAACGCAGGCATGAAACTTTTAACCTTGTTTTCAGCTTTTCTCGTTCTTATTATAGGGCTAATAATCGGAAGTTTATGGTATGCCGTTGTGCGAGGGGAATTCACCAGGTTCGCGACAAAGCAAAATTACAAAGACGTTCTTCTTAACTTGAATTCCAAGTTTGCCGTTTGCCGTAAACTTAATTCTGAATCTCTGTGTTAGCGCAGTTCTAGATATTTGTATTGAATCTTTCTCCACTTAGGCTTAATTTTTCTTTATTTATGGGAGGAGACGGGTACCGTAAACTTCTGATTGTGAGGACTGGGCCAGGAGCCCTTCAAATGCCAGGGCTTATACAACTTTGTAAGGGCTTAAACCGTTTAAGCCCTAACAGTGAGCAGCATGAAATTTTTCAGAAAAATTCTTTAGAAAACAGAGTTGTCATGAGAATTGAGTACATGATCAGGGAAGATGAGTCTATCTGATATTTCAACAAATTCTCCCGACTACTTGTATTGAAAAAGTATAGGGACAGTAAACGAGAATCTCAGTTTTGATCTTAGGGTTTAAAGGGTTCAGGAGGGCTTATAAACGGGGGGCTTATATACAACAGGTAGGTGGAGAGTAGCAATAAGAACCGAAACACAGCCATCATGGATCTCAATTTGCATTGTATTTGACGGTCGCAGCTTCTCCCGTTTCTCCTCTCATTAGAATGTGGGTGTTCACTAGCAGTCGTGGATGTGGAAAACACGTGTTTCCAGACGTTCAAACTGAAAACACATTAACGCTCTCGATGCGACTTCTTTTAACCCGCTAGCGACTGAAGCCTGCGTCGCAAGCGAAGGTCAGTTTTTTGGTTAGTTTTACTCTTTTTCTCCCCTAGAGGGTGCGCGCGTGTCCTCGAAATTTCTCTCTTCGCCCTTACAAAACTGGTGCCTTCTTTGCAGCCTACACCGACTGTGACGTACGAGGCGTTTTTGTCTGTCCTATATTGAATTACTCACCGAGTACTGCGCATCTTATACGATAAATCACACTTCCCATGCATAACTGGTTTCACGGATCACGTTCCTATTTTGGGAACTTTCACGCTTCACGCGACTCACGCACTAAATTTGGGCCTAAACACGCGCCACCCATAAACCCTTTGCTACCCTCTAGGAGCGTACAAGTGACGGCAAGTGCATACAGGTGAAGGTAGTGCGTATAAGTGAAGGTAAGTGCGTACAAATGAAGTAAGTGCATGCAAGTGAATGTAAGTGTATGCAAGTGAAGGTAAGTGCATACATACGGAGCCCAGTAAGTGCCATTCAAATTTTGCGCTCAATTTTTTCTGTCTCGACTTTTTTTTCTTTTAAGTTTTTTTTTTTTTTCTCGACTTTTTTCCCGACTTTTTTCTCGACTTTTTTCTCCTTTTTCCCGACTTTTTTCTCGACTTTTTCTCGACTTTTTCTCGACTTTTTCCCGACTTTTTTTCGACTTTTTCCCCGACTTTTTTCTCGACTTTTTTCCCGACTTTTTTTCTGACTTTCCCCCCTGACCTTGGAGTAAATCCGCTGACATTTAAGCGCAAACAAAATGGTCGCAAGAATTTTTCGTTATACGATGTTGCTGTCTACAGTAATTCCCTCTACATGTGTTCTGCCAGGCTACTTCTCTCTCCCAGCACATGCAGAACGTGACGACATAATCGACCACTTCTTTCATCTGGGTCTGGGTTACAGCGCGATCTTGATGTGTTTGTTTCTTTTGCACGGCATTTGCTTAAGTATTCGTCAACTAAAGCGAATACTGAGATGTCGTGGTCTTGGAAGAAGAGCTAATAGGACTGATCCACGGCAGGTTTGCGAAGCTATCGAGGAGGAACTACGAGGCAATGGTAGCACTATTGGGTATAGGCAAATGACTCAGAGGCTGGTAGTTGATCACGGGCTAGTTGTTGGCAAAGAGACAGTTAGAGAATTGATGAAGATATTCGATACTTATGGTGTGTCCGCAAGATCAAGTCGGAGACTCCGGAGAAGGCAGTACAGCACAAAAAGGTCCTAATCACATATGGCATATTGACGGATATGACAAGTTGAAACCGTTTGGATTTTTTGTGTACAGGGACTGCATCATTTGCGCAGTAAAGACCGGAGTCCCTCATATCTTTGAAAAAACGGATCCACCAGTCCGAGCAGCCTCTTTTAGAATACCCCACCAAGCCTTTATACGCTGATTAGCAACGGAAACTTTTATCTCCAGCCCAACTGTCGTCCCCATCACGTCTAAAGAAGCGCTGTACAGCAGCGACATAAACATTCTCTGTTCCCCCATCACCACGTATTATCTTGGCAGTTCCACCGATTTGCCTGATAGTGTCCACAAAATATTGGGCTATGACAGAGGGATCATTGTTAGAAGGACCAACTTCTAAAAACATGATTCTTCTGCTATAGTTGTCAATTGCAACCTCTCATTCGCAAAGAGCTTTATAAAGTGGCTGTATTGTGGAACTTACATAAGATAAGGCCAACGAACAATGCTGAGTCTCCAAGTGGTCGACCAGACATGCTTTATTTTGTGCCAGACATCACTGGAGGAGCAGACCTTAAACAAGATGTGAACATTGATGATATTGAACTTGCGGAGCAAAGATGTTGCTATAGGTATGCAGAAAGTGGCTGTTGTGTCGAGTTCACTCAGTTACCATCAATTATAATGCAGGAACAAAACCTTGATATGCCTGACACAGCCGAAGATGCAGTCACCTTGTACTCTACCTTACTTCAGAGCATTGATGATTTAGTATAATAGCATGTTGCCAGTCTCTCGTATGAACTGACGTTGATGATGTAAGGAAGGGAAGGGGGGGGGAAACGTTAATCGCAAACTCGCAAGGAGAAATGTATAAAACCAGCAATACAGCATCTTGACTTAATAAAAGTTCGAAACACTAGATTTACAAAGTGCTAGGTCTTGTAAAACTCCAATAACACAGGATGGCACCAACTATATAGTAATTTTAGCTTTACCATGACGGCGAGAGACAATTTGTCACTTGCGACCAAATTTTCATTTTACCTGTCGTTTATAGCGTATATAATATCTACACAAAGGTAGAGTGATCAAACAAAAAATTTTTAGGCTCGGGCCTACATTTTTGTTGGCTGGCTACGCCCCTGTTAGTTGTTTACTTAAGTAAGCATGTCGGGGGGGTGGGCGGAGGGGGGCTGTAGTAGTGTTCCAGGCGTTCGGCACTCATGTGTTTTTCAGCCTTCGCAAGTGCATGGGTTACTGCAATGTCCAATTTCAAGCAGTTAAAAAAAGGGCCATGTTATCAAAGCAGAAAATGACTTAGCTTTAGCGAAAAATTGTTTATTAGAGAGCTTTCATGTTGAACTCGCCAGGGTCCTTGCCAGAACAAGGATGTTAGACAAGTTTCCTTTGTTTATGTAGATTTTCAACAGCATTTTTCTCTCCCTCGTCGGGACCAGACATGTTGTTCCTATTCCCCACGTGCCGAAATGAACCATTGACGCATGCGTATGTGATCAGTGGTGGAAAAAAAAGTCGGGAAAAAAGTCGAGAAAAAAGTCGAGAAAATAGTCGGGAAAAAAGTCGAGAAAAACGTCGGGAAAAAAGTCGAGAAAAAAGTCGACAAAAAAGTCGACAAAAAGTCGGGAAAAAAGTCGAGAAAAAAGTCGAGAAAATAGTCGGGAAAAAAGTCGAGAAAAAGTCGGGAAAAAAGTCGAGAAAAATGTCGGTAAAAAAGTCGAAAAAAAAGTCGAGAAAAAAGTCGGAAAAAAACTTAAAGGCGAGAAAAAAGTCGAGACAGAAAAAATTGCGCGCAAAATTTGAATGGCACTTACTGGGCTCCGTACATACAAGTGATGTAAATGTATGCAAGTGAATGTAAGTGCATGCCTGTATGCTTCGAAAATTGTTCTTCGAGTCATTGTCTGTTGTCTTCGTGGCGTCGATTCCATGTCTTCGAGTCGTCGCATCCCTCGTTTCATCGTACTGTTTTCTCGGTAGGTACGTCATGTATGGGGACATATATTGTACCGATTTTACCTACTTAACTTATACCTTCACTCTTTCTACTTCGTTCCTTGATGCCTTGTAGTTCTGTTCTCTGTTATCTTGTTGATCTGTTTCCTTATTACCTTGTTACTCTGTTTCCTTGTTACTCTGTTATCTTGTTACCCTGTGACCTTGTTACCCTGTTACCTTTTTACTCTGTTACCCTGTTACCTTGTTACTCTGTTTCCTTGTTACCTTGTTACTCTGTTACCTTGTTACCTTGTTACTCTGTTACCTTGTTACCCTGTTACCTTCTTACTCTGTTACCCTGTTACCTTTTTACTCTGTTACTGTGTTACCTTGTTACTCTGTTATCCTTTTACCTTGTCACCTTGTTACTCTGTTACCTTGTTCCCTTGTTACTCTGTTGCCTTGTTACTGTGTTACTTTGTTCCCTTGTTTCCTTCTTACTCTGTTACCTTGTTACCTTGTTACTCTGTTTCCTTATTACCTTGTTATTTTGTTTGCTTGTTACTCTGTTACCTTGTTACTCTTTTACCCTGTTGTCTAAAGTTTAGTTTATTTTTGTATGACAAGTCGCAATTTTTTTTCCCGATTGGACGCGTTTTTGGCGAGTATGGTCGTGGTTGAATGGTTTGCATTACAGTTCGTTTTTCGTTTATGGTAATTTGCAGCAATCAGCTTTATTTGGTAAATTTTTTCTCTTTGACGGAAATGGAACACAAGTTTCCTTTTTTGAAAACAGCGCTTGGACCATGACGAAGGCTTTGTGTCTCAATGCTATGGCACCTGAAGCCTTTTATAGTTTCTTTTGGCTTTTATACTTTTATCATGATTTTTCAAAAAATGTAAGCGAAATTTCTGGGCAATATTTTTACGATCAGATATTTTGCATAAAACGCTGAGTCTTAAGGCGCCCTTGTAAAATGACTTAACAACGCGGCAGGGTCCTATAACAGGCATAACGTTTGGATACTTTTAGTCAATACCACACAAGTGAGGCCGAAGTTTTATTGCATTCGTTTTTTTATCGAGACAATCGTTGAAAATCGCACAACACGAGGAAATATGTTTCATAATTTTGACGGGCCATACACGACTCCTTTTGGCCAAATAGTTGTATATCTTTGACCTTGAAGCTTCATAGTTTGTGTTTTTCATAATGTTGACAGGCTATTCACGTCTCTCTTTGGCTCCGTTTCTGTTGGTTTGACCTTACCTTCATAGATTAGCTCTTACGAGTATATCTTGCAGTGACTTTCCTCTTTTGTAAGCTATTATGGGAGGGTCTTTAAAGATTTGGTTTTCTATAAGATACCATTTGTGCATGATGATTTTTTGTAGGTTCGGTACTGAGGGGCGATATTCTGTCACGAATGGTAGTATTTTCTTGTGCGTTTTTGTTTTGTTTTGCAAAGCCGACATTCTTTCGTGATGCTCGACTTCTGATAGGTGTTTATCTATCACTTTATCTCTATAACCTCTCATACGGAGTCTTCGCTTGAAATTAGTTATGTTCTCTTCGAACCTTTTCTCAGAAGAGTTTGTTCTGAGTAATCTTAAGGCCTCGCTTTTTATGAATCCTTTCTTAACCCCTGGGGGGTGACATGAAGAAAAATACGTGTATTGGAAAGTTTCTGTCGGTTTGAGGTGTGTACGCACATCTAGGATTGATTCCTTCTTAAATCTTTCTCCTTTGTAATTACATGTATCCAGAAAGGCGGTCTCCGTTTCTGAAACTTCAGCAGTAAATTTTATGGTAGGGTGGTGGTTATTTGCTTGTTCGATGAATGAGTATATTTCTTCTTTGTCTACATTCCACAATGAGAATATGTCATTGATAAATCTCTTCCACACTAGTGGCTTGTGCGGACTTTTGTTAATAATTTCTCTCTCTATTGCAGATATAAAAATGTTAGCAAATTCAACTGCCATTTTTGTTCCCATAGCTGTACCTTGTCCTTGGACGTAGTTTTTTCCGACAAATTGGAAAGAATTCTTCCTTAGGATTAGTCTGAGCATATCTGCGAGGTATTGGCTGAGTATTGGAGGTTTGTTTTGATAGAATGTTTCGTATGCTTTGCACATAATGGTGATTCCTTCCTCCTGTGGGATGTTTGTGTATAGGCTAGTTACATCCATAGAGACTAGCATAGCATTTTCTACGACCCTGGTTTTCTCTATGAAGTTGATAAAGTCTGTCGTATCTAGAATTGTGGTATTCGCGGTGGATTTGGCGTGAGGGATAGCCATCGTCTTGTCATCTCGTCTATATGTTTCTCCTTGTAAAGTTTATCTATCAATTTCTTGACCCTTCTAGAGGTTTCTACTATCATTGGTGTTTCTAAGGGTTTGTAGTTTTCTCTGTCATCTATTTATATTTGACCGTCTTTTATTTTGTCTTCTTTGTTGAGAACAACAATAGAAGAGCCTTAATCTGCTCGTTTAATGTTGATTTCCGGGTTTTGTTTTAGTTGTTTGATGGCAAGTTGTTCCCTCTTGGGTAGATTGTTTCTTGACGTGATTGTATTTATCAATTAGCAAGTTGTAATTTAACCTCTTCTAGGTATGTTTCTAGTGCGACTGACTGGAGCTGAACTGGTGGCTCCCAGCGGGCTGACTTTCAATGAAAGTACTCAACAAGGATTTTTCTTGCTATGTGAAGAGATTACTTTTGCGATATTTGCGAGATTTGAGTGCTTTTGGAGGCCCTTCTTGGCCATTTTTCTTTCTAAGTCTAGAATTTTGTTAAATTTGTTATTATTGCTATTTTGCGATATTTCTTACTTTTCAGTGTTTTTAGGTAGCAGGAAATATCCTTGTTACTTTTGCGATTTTTTTCTAAGTCTAGAATCTTGTTTGATTGGTTATTATTGCTACTCTTGTCATATTTGCCAGTGATTGTCTTACAAACTTTTCGGTGAATTATTTTCTTTGCGACAAATGCGAAGAGAATTTGCTAACAAGATCGT